CAGTTTGGAATCCTGTGATAATCATGTAATTCCCAAATAAATAAATAAAATGAGGCCCAAAATACATAGCGGCATTGAAAGGACATTGATGAGCTCAGCAGCTAATGTGTTTCAGCTCACAAACATTTAACAGGGTCTCTCAGGGGAAATGGCTCCCAGTGAATGAGGCTGATGCTGGACTGAAGCTGACCCCTCCTTTGCTTTCATTTTTCTGGTAATCCCTGCTCCCGTTGTTTGCCCTAACCTCCTCACAGGTTGCCTGGTTTGGCTAAGGTTAGTGTGTGTTTGGTGAAAACGTACTGTAATTGCAGTTCTGCGTTCCTCTCCCTTCATCTAAACAAGCGCTCTTTCCCCCCTGCTCACCAATGTATATGGTCAGAGGGGATCAAAGCACGCAGCCAGTTGGGATACAGACTTGCAGGAGTGAGTGAGAACACGCAGGGAGCTTTTTGATGTATTGGAGCATTTTCTCCACTAATAAGACGACTCCAACTTCCCCAACCTGCTCATAATTGTGGAACACTTGGAACACTAATAAATGAGAGGAAGGGCATTTCAGGCAGTTCTCTAAGAGTTTTCCCTTTGCTTATTCCTTTAAACCTCTAATTAAAATGCAAAGCATTCTCGTGGTCCTCAGGATTTGGTGCTGCACTCTCACACAGCCTCTGACTCCCTACTGTATCTCCTCTCCTTTTTTTCTCCACTTCCCTGCTACATCCCCTCCAACCCTTTCCACCTCACCTAACTCTCTGCTCTCATACTCTCTGTGTCTGCCTTTGCTTCTTGTGATCAGCGCAGTTTGACCTCTCACTTGGAAGAAGTGCGCAGAATTTAATGGATTTTTTACAGTCTAATCTAACCAGTTCCCTCTTTATTGCTGTTTTGCACCCAGTGGACCTCATCTTTACCAGGCCTTCCTCTCTCCACCACCTCCTCCACCCTCACACCAAGAAAATTAGTTCATCAGAATTCAAAATATACTGCTGGCTAATTAAAGGAGTGTTAATTGAGTGTTCAGAATTGGGTAGCCCCTTCACCAAATGCACACAGAAGCACACGTGTGCCTACACACAAGCACACACACAATCACAGTGACAGCGGAGTGTACACCAAGGACGTTGCGCTTGGGGAGTTTCATGCCAATCAAAAATGGAGAGAAAGAAGAGTGCCCATCCTCCAAGTGAAATGGGATTTCTAGATCATATCATGGCCTGCTGCAGCTCAGTCCGGCTCTGTGCTGCCATGTTATCCTATCCAAGCCTTGCTGTCTCTGTCTGACTGCTGGAGAGTGTAACACTGTACAGATAGCTTCTCTCACTGTGCGCATCGTGCTAATGAGGGGTGGCATTTAGAGATGTGCTGCTCTGACACATGGGCATTGTGTGCCAGGCACTAGGTGATTAAGGACGAAGGTCATCCCATTAATTGCCTCCCTGCCATCTCCGCTCCCCGGCGCGTGATCCCTCAGAACTAATGCGTGTTTGCCTGAGCTTTTATCGCATCTCCAGTGCAGTTCAATCATATGCTTTGTTTGTTTACATTACTTTCATGTTTACATTTCTTTCATTTTTTTTTCTTACTTAGTGTGCTAGCCCAGGTTTCTCTGTTCATTTACTATAAGCTGTTTCATGTGCTTGTGAGCGCACATAGCCTCCTGCTCTTAGGAAGGAAAAAAGCATATTCTTCCATCCCCAGGGGAAATAATTAATCCTTACAAGGCTGTCGCATGTCGAAATGAAGCAAGTGTGAAGCATTTAGCCCAGGAGGCATTGCAGGCTGTCGCCCGCACAGGCACCTGTTGTTGTCCCTGCCCTACATTTCATGAGAGAGCGTTGAGCAGAGGATAACAACATGCTCCACTGATGGCAAATGAGACACACATCTGCAGATGCAGGTTTTTGTGTGTGAATGCTTGCACAGTTTTATCTGTTTTCATGCGTTGTATTTGCATGCGCGACCACACTCGAGTGTGCACAGGTGCAGGAAACCCCCCTACCTTATGAGGAGGTGAGGACTCACACAAAGGAGGCAGTGCTGGCTGCCTCAGATGGTGTTTATCAGCTAGCACCATCTGTATGCTGCTGTTCATAACTATGATCTACTGCAGCCTAAACCAATATGCCACAGAGTGCCAGCCTAAAAAGAGACTCCCTCCTTTAACCTCAATGTCCTCACTTATAGACTTACCCCTCTGGAGGAGAGAGATGTGGAGACCCTGCACATCAAACGCACAGTGTGTATAGCAGCATGTGTTTGAGAGTGAAATTACATGCTGGCTTGTGGCCATACTTAATGTAATCAACTTTGCTGTAAAATTTATACCATGGAACTTTTTAAAGAGGAAGCTGGAATCAGAAGCATCCAGATGCTCATTTGCCTCCTCTTCTTCCTTTATGCCTGTGGGTTCTAATAACCGGAAGCCTTTGTGGAGCTGAGATGGGTTTTGTAGGCCTGAAAGGCTTCTAATCCCTGTGGCCTGTGAAGTGTGAAACCCTTTGATGCCAGGTTGGTGTGCCAAAGGCTCTGCCTATTGACAAACAAGGGCCAAGCTGGGAAAAGACGGAGGGAGCGGGCTTTCTCCTCTCTCTCAGAAGAAATGCAGGCTCAGGCATGGAAAATATGGACTCAGTCAGTGAGAAGGAATAGAATTAGGCACCCTTTAATGAATTTCCTAGCTGTTTTTATAGATTTTTTTTTTTCTCCTGTGGCAGTAATTAGGTGAACTGATGGACATACTGCAGCTGGGGGCTTGTAGGGGTGGCAGGGCACTGGTCCTTGATATGTCTGAAAGCCAAGTACCCTTCCTCATTTAGACCATGTGATGATCAAAGATGCTTTTTTTTGTCCTCATGTAAAGAAGATTAAAAAAAATGCTGCAATTCCATTTGCATGTGGACCAGCAATGTGCTTTGAAATCAGCGTGTTTTTCTCTCCTGAGCAAATGAAATAAGTCTTCTGTCAGTATTCCACTGCAAGTCAAGACATCAAAGCAAATGGCACTGCCGTCACCAGGGAAGCAGAGCTTTGCCGGAGTAAGGTTGGTTAGTTAGATAGGCAGGCTGACCTGGGCAGCCTAGCCCATTAGGATGGCACCAGCTTCCTTCATTCTGATTAAAAATAAGCCAGTAAGGCCAGGCTATTTTTACTCATTTAAATTCAAATTTGAAGTGTACTGTTTCCTATTTAGAAAGCATGCTCTCTTAAGGATGAACCAAACAGACTGGATTAGTCTAGTACTAAATTTGGATTGGGATATTCACAGTCTCTTGCCTCTGCTGTTAAATTCCAAAATTATTTATTTTTTATAATATGGATCTTGTAGATTTAATCATTTTCACAGTTGGAGGCCCATAGGGTTGTTGAAATGAACTCCCCATGCTACCTGTAATGGGAGCAAAGAAATGAGAATTGTGACTACTTGGCTGTGGAGTCTCTTTAAAATGATTTTGCAATTGGAAAGGAAATGGAGTGAGTCCTAGTCACAGGCTGCACACCCTGCAGACTCCTTAGGTTGCCAGGATGTTTCCTGATGGCACAGTTATGGCAGTTAATTTTTGTGTGTTTTGTTAGCTTTTGCATAAAAATGTCATTTTTGAGGGGTTGCAAGTCATTTGTGGCTGCTGATATATTGCTTGTAAATTGAGTTCTTTTCCCAACCCCTCCACCCTTTTTGTTGCACTGAGCTAAGTAGCCTTGAAATTGCCTGAATAATGTTGTTTAAATCCAATCTCAGCATGGCCCCTCACCTCCATGCCCAGCCCCCAAAACAATGACACATGGTGGGATTTTTAGAAATTGCTATTTTCCTGTTTGCCACCTCAATTCACAATGGCCAAGCCTTGGCTCATTGAGCAAGGGCCATTGCTAGTTTCACTCGTTGTGTTCACTGCTGAATTGAATTTTGGAATTGGAGTGGTTTCATATGGCAAACGGTACAGAGCATTTACTGTACATTTATAGAACATGATGGTAGGATGTACCGGCCTTTTGTTGATTCTGTCATGTTATTTTGTACGTGTAAATGAAAGACATAACAGTCTTTATACATTACATGCACTCAAAAATAATTGTGTTTGCGACTATGTTCATTATTGAAGTATTTTATAGTCACACAAGGACAAACCATTGGCATGTCTGATTTGATTTATTTTCTCAAAAGTGATGTGCTTCTGTCTTGTTCTGTATTTGATGTTTTTTAACATGGGTTTTATCTCCAAACCAAGTTTTTAGTTTTATCCTTGATCTTTGCTTTAGCATCCCTGACTTTGCCCAGTTTTGATGTATTTCATTTAAGCCAACTAGTAATACTTTATAGATGTTGTTTATTTTATTCTCCACCTACTCATGGCTTGAATAAATGTGGAAATTCTGTGGCCAAGTGTAAGACCCAGTAAGTGATACCACTTATAAATCTCTTGCTACTGCAATTAAACAAGCTTTCATCCCCTCCCCTTCTGTCCCTCCATGCCTGATATCCAAGGCTAACCCAATTCAGGGCTAAAGAGAGTCTGAATTAATTTCACAATGCACTGATTTAACAGCGCCTAAGGTACTAGGTTTTGACAGAATGGGTTTTTAAAAAGATCCATTTGTCAAGGGATGAACTTGCACAGGAGGGTGTGAAAATGAGATGGAAAGAAGGAGGGAGTGATGGAACATAAATGAATGTCAGTCCTGATTTTTGGATTGTTGAGCAGTGTGTCTACAGTTTGCATCTGGTTTTATTCAACTGTTCTTGTAGAAGCACTGACAGTGTGTTTTTTCAGTGAGCTTTAGATGTAGTCATTGTAATGTTGCCAGGTTTCACTGTTGCAGCAGAGTAGTGGTTACAATTGATTGATTGATCTGACTTTTGTGGCTGTTTTTGTGCTATTGGGTACATATTGGGTTGGATAAAATTTCCTGGTACTTAAAACCCTGGTCTGCTGTTCTGTTCTTCTACACATGCAGCCATCTATGTTGGTCATTTCACTCATATTTTTTTCTTTTTTGTCTTGTAGGTGAGCTGGTGGTGCCTACACACTCCCCACGTTACCCTACTGCAGCAGAACTGGATGCCTATGCTCAGAAGACAGCCAACTACCCTCTGTCCATCAAGATCTTCCCCACCAACATCAGGGTTCCCCAGCATAAGCACCTTAACCGGACTGTGAATGGATATGACACCACAGGGCAACGTTATAGTCCCTACCCACATCTCCACACAGGGGGCTACCAGGGTCTGCTTGCCATCGTCAAGGCCTCCTCCTCATCCTCATCAACATCCACCTTTGTCCTTTCAAAAGGAGTTGTCAAGAATTCCGAAGGCAGACGGACTAAACTTTCTCCAGCCCATACAGCTGTAGCCCCATATCCACCTCCTAGTAGTAGCACTTTAGCCAGTGGCCACAACCAAATGGTGTACCACACTGGACCCTCAAAGCCTCCAGAAGGACTGTCGGTTCCCCCAAATGTCACTGTAGCTAGCTCAGTGATTCCTGTAACAGGGGGTCGAGGTCTGGCCCTGCCCACACAGTCCAACCTCCCCTCCATTCAGAGCATCATCTACCAGATCAACCAGCATTGCCAGGCCCAGGCTCTGCAACAGGTGTGTCAAGGGGCTGCCACTGCACCATCAAATTCCAGCCCCTCCAAGCAGGGCACTGGTGTCATGGGGGTCTCTTCCAGCTCCTCAGGTGGAGGCTATGTGGTAGGAATGGGCCCCCAGGCTAATATGGTATACACAGGGCCTGGGCTACCAGCTCAAAATGCTGAGGCTATGAAGACTGGTGTGTACGCAGACAGTATGGACTATATTCTTTGGCAGAAGCAGCAGCAACAGCAGCAGCAGCAGCAACAGCAACAGGCTGTGCTTCGCATGTACAGTGGAGGTAGCGGAGGAGGGGGTGCCATCAGCAAGTCCCCCGAAACTTGTGTTCCAGGAGGAGGACTTATGGCGGCCCAGGTATCCTCCTCATCATCCAGACCTTACCATCTGACAGCAAGTGCCAGCGGAGGAGGCGGGCTGGATAAAGTCAGCTCTTCCCCTTTGAACTGCGTTGGTATGCATGGAAATTTCTCAGTGGGTCAGTACTTTGCCCCGCCATGGAACAGTGTCCTGGTGACACCTGATAGTGACTGCTACAACCCCCAGGAGCTTTTGGGCACCTCCACAGGAGGGCCGGCCACAGGGCACAGAGAGATGGGCTACCCCCACCACCATCACCACTACCATCACCATCACCACCCTGCTATAGACAGCGGGGGAGGTTTGTGCTGCAGCCTGCCCAGCAAGAGCTTGTGCAACACGTCCGTGCTGAGCAGCAGCTTGCAGTCTTTGGAGTACCTGATCAACGACATCCACCCACCCTGCATCAAGGAGCAGATGCTTGGCAAAGGCTACGAGACTGTGTCTGTGCCGCGTCTGTTAGACCACCAGCATGCACACATCCGCCTCCCTGTTTACAGATAGAGGGGGAAGAAGAGGAGGAAAATAACCAAGAGTTGTGAATTTGTGAAGAAAATCAAAGTTAAAGAACAGAAATGGTTTTTTTGGGGGGAGGGGGGGGTCAGAGTTGTTGCTAGTGGCACTGTTTTAACTAGTGTGGAAGCTTAGAACAGAGCAGTTGTTGTGCTGTGTGACCCTAGGTTTGATGGTTTCAAGGCAGGCTGTGGGAATCCCAAATATGAGAGGTGGTAGTGATTGCCAGTGGGGGAGAAAAGGGATTTCGAGATTCTCCAGATGTTCCATTGTGTGGTTTGCCAATAGGAATTTTTGATTGATTCATTTTTTTTCTTCAGTTTTTTTGTTGTTTTTCTTGCCTGAACTTTTTCGATGAGAATCATAGCTTGACATGAAGCGCATACACCACTTGTATCCCCCTTCCAAATACTAAGGATGAAACTACCGTGTAGGTTGTCACTGAAATGGTCTTAAAAGGGCCATAGTGGAGGGCTGCTCTCAAAATCCAAAACTCTGTAACAGTACACACAGAAACACGTACAGTATGTAAACAAACACATACAAAAATGTACTGATACATGAGAAGAGTAAGATTATAGGCAGTACATGGATGTTATGTACAAGGATCATAAGGTTGAAGTAAAAGGATAGTACAATATTAGTTATTATTACTGTTATAATTGATACATAAATTGCACTGTTTGAATCTTGTTAACTTTGAAGTTTGGAATTGGGTAGTTTGGATATGATATATTTAAGAAACTTGAAAAACTTGAACCTATTTTTTGTTGTTTTATATATTTGTAGGTATATTATATGCATTGGCTGCTATGGGGAAATGTGTCTCAAATGTTTGTTTGTTTTTTAGTTTGTTTTTTCCACTTTTGTGTTTATGATTTAATAATTCCTCCTCAAGCTGATGTGCAGTTTCTTATGTCCTTGTGTGAGGCATAGCTGCTGCTTTGGTTCTGTAAGAACCTGGTCGGAGAGCTCTTTTTTCCTACCCAACACTGGAATCTACAATAAATCTTGGAATACTTATTTAAAAAAAGTTGCAAAAAATTCAAGAAAAAGAAATGTTACAATGAAGAATGTGATTGGGAGGTTATCTTTATAACCTTGTGTGTTAATGTGTGTAGCTGAGTGCATGCGTGTGTGTGTGCATTTTAGTTTGTCTTCTTCAAAATCCTCAGACTTTTTTTATTATGTCATTACAGGATTTCTACCACAAAGACTGAAATTGATTCACCAGTCCCATAAATATGATATCTGAATAATGTACAGGAGATCTTTTGCAAATGATGATTCCTTATATTGGAGGCTTTAGATATTCTCTGGAGCTAGAGTAGAGAAAAAGTTCTCACACAACTCCTTTATAAGTGTAGTTATGGTACTATAACTCCTCTGTTAGGTGTTATCGTAATAACACAGAGGTGGGAACAAATAAAACCCTACTCTGAGGGTACCGCTCACTCCTTATCCTAAATCCTCCTCCTAAATGAAAACAATCATGTCCTGCCCTCTGGCATCAGATGAAATGAGACGACACTCATTGCTTTTCTTTGTCCATTTCAGCCCCCGGTTGGGAAGCATTTAGCCCAAGCCAATCTTAACTTGATGATTCAGAGCAGTGAAATATTTATTATAACTGTGAGATTCCCTTGAATGTACCGCACTTAAATTACTCCAATGTTTTATTGCCTTGTGGGACTCAAGTGAAAGAAAAAATTGGATCAGTGCAGCAGTCATCTGGTCTTAAATTAGCATTTCTTTTGTCAGTCAAATTTCACTGATAAATTGAATTTATTAACTGGAGAGAGGGAGCTGGAGCTTTGTTGTGGGGAAATACTGGCATCGGTCTAGATTAATGAAGTGCAATTATTATGACTGTATTAACATTTTTTCTCTGAGCTTACACCAAAAAAATGTAAACTACAGTTGTCAATACATTCCCAATGTACCACATCCCTAATCCCTATCCTTTCTTCTTTTGAGCTGTAAAATAAATTTCTTTAAGAATATATTCAGTAGCCACATCTTGGCTTTGAAGTCTGTCATTATTTTTTAACGTATGTCCTCTAGAAGCTAGTGGGAAACTGGGCCTTTGTTACAGCAGCTCTGTGAAATCCAGAGTGAGCGTGATGTGTGAAGTAAATCCTGTACTGTAGCGATAAAACCTCTGCCACTGAGAAAAACTAGTTGATTTAACTGATCATCTTTTAAATGTTTACTTGTTGGCCACCCAAAGATAAAGGACAGACAGCATTTCTGGAAAAAGAAATTACATGCCCATGCATACTGAAGATGTGATGGATTTTTGATCAAGAGGGAATTAAAACATTTTCTTTGGTCTTCATCTTGCCCCATAAATAGACCTGTTTTCCCTCAAGATAACGATTGGTTAATCTTAATCTATGAGCCTTAAATTTTGAGCTAATGGTGTTTGTAGACATGCCACTGTCAAAAATTTCATTCTAAAGAAGCACCTCGCTTAAATTTGCACAGTAAGCCTCCTTAACATTCCAGTGAAAATTTTTCATGTTGTTTCAACAGCTTAATACCCCAGCCACAGTCTGATTCCAGCACAGCTTCTGTCTTGTTGAAATATTTTGACAGATTTACAGATACATCCCGTCCCTAAATCCCCTCCGTTTGGCTTCTGAAGCGAAGCATTAAACCCTGTCACATGATGTCGAAGTGAAGAGGAGACACTTGAGGCAGTGGAGTCTCTGGTGTCTGCCCTTTCCCACCAGTGGAGGTTTGAGGCACCAGGCCTCTCTGTTAATGGGAATATTGGGTGACACCTGGCTGCTGGACACTGCCAGTGAAGAGTATTCATTCACAGAAAGGGTTGAATTCAAGCCCGTTTCAGATAGCAGTTTTATTTTAAAAAATGTGGTATGTAAATACTTTTACCATCCTTTCCTTGTGGCTGCACTTTCTACCATACAGGCTCCAAACTGTCTGACCCCCTGGTCCTTTACACACATTAATGAGCTGGTATTGATGGGATGCTTCTTTGCCATGCAACTCAGGCCCCTTCCACTATTCCTGATTTGAACAATGGATGTTTAGCCCATATTACGATAATAGAATTAAATTTCAAATAGATTTGTGCCTGAGCTGATATGTGCACAGCTCACTCAGCTGCAGACGCAGAGTGGCATATGGCATGTCATTATCTAAGCCCACCCTCTGCCTGTCCGGGGCCAACTGGGTTCATCAGTGCTTAAACAAACTGAAGGTTAGGACTGGCTGGCTGGCGTTAAAGGAGAGGACAGCAGGGTTGGTGTGTGTGGTGGGGGTTGCTAAATCACAGCCTCCACAGCGTCTCAGCGGGCCCCAGCACCGCACCATGGCGCCTGGGCTCTGTGGCCTGCTTTAAAAGCTGGGCTGTGTTTGATCGAGGGGATTTGTTTTCTGTAGGATTATACATGGTTCCTCCCTGCCTGGCTGAGGGGCCCTGTGCAATGTGACAGATCGCAACAAAAAAGAGAGAAAGACAGACAAAGATATAGGAAGGGATTTTGAGGTCATGGAAGCCTTGAAGCATCAGTAATCAGGATAATTGCCATGTTCCTGATGCTGGTTTCAGCCTCCCCTCTTTGGCTCTGCGGCCTCATATTCAGATTCAATCTCTGAAGAAATCACCTTTCGCACTGAAAGACTTATTGTGCCTCAGTTTACTAAATTCTACTGAGTAAGATCTTCATTTGTAATTAAGTTTTTAATACTTGGAAAACTATTCTTCTAAGTAAATGCCCAAGAAATGATAAATTATGCCATCCGAATGAGGACATTTAGCGCTATAACCTATCTGTGGTTACAGACTATTGACTGTTAACATGTTTTCAAGGGCAATGAGATGCTCATGAGGATGGCCCAAGGGCAAAGTGAAGGGGAATTGACTTATGTTAGCTGTAAAAATCCCTTAGTAAATCCCAATAAGTCCATGAGGGCCATTACCCAGGGCAAAGGTCTAGTTGTATATTAGGCATCTTAAATACTGCAGAGAAGGAATATGAGCAGACAAAACCATTCAGAGCAGGGTCAGTTCTTGCACTTTCACAACAGAGGAGATTGGAGCAAAGGTTAGAAAATATAAAGGCAGCTGCTCACTCTGCAGAGTCTTGGCGCTGCTACTCTAACCTACACATGACAGAGGGGGGTAGTGGGGTGACATCCCCTCCACACCATGTTGGTCAACCTCAGTCGTGTCCCCTGGCTGCCCTTGAGCCCCTGGGGCTCTCATCTCAGAGTCTTTCCCAGCATCCCTCCTTCACGTCTAAGAGAAGTCATGAGGCCAGTCATCTCCATTTGGCTCCTACCTGGAAAGAAAATACTTTAATCAATAATTCAGATGGTCCTGAGGAGGCTTTTATAGTCCGGCCACCAGCCTTATACCTGTATAACACAAAATCTTTATAAGATTTGCTGTGTTTTGCCACATGGTTAGAGCACATTGCCATCGCTTTAGTGCTACTGGATAAGCAGAATATGAGCACCATACAATTTCACTGTTGTTTTTAGCATGTATTAAATGCAACACAAGGTAAAAAATCAGCACAGATCACAAAATAAATCAGTTTTCCACCCAAAACAGCACAACCCTAGAGCCCCTTTCTAAAAGGCAATGCAGCAGGTTCCAGGAGTTTACAGTATTTTATTTCTCCAGCGTCACAGCACATGTATGTTCAGCTGAAAAAGCTTATGGCCTCCAAGTATTCATCTAGTGTATGTGGTGGTGTATTTGTATGCTGTATTCAATCTAAACACAAAAGTCTGGGGATTTTGCTTTTTTCCTTCCTGTTTTGTTTTACTGTTTGTGTGGCTCTCAGAATGTTCCTGTGGACAAACAGGGCTGTTTTTTGCGGTTTGTTTTTGTCCCCCCCCCCCCCACGAATGATCTCAAATGCACCAACGCTGCCAAAGTCTGACGGTGCCACAACCTTGAGAAAATAATATATATGGAAATGGGAAATCTATAAAGCATCTCTCTTATTGTTCTCCCTGCAGTGTTGTATTTATGTTTAAAAATGATTTTGTCTCCTCAGGATGAAAAAATGTAAAGAATACCTTGCTTTTTGAAAATGATAATATACAAGTCTTAGATTTCGAAATAAGAAGTCTGAATATTAAAAAAAAAAGCTGTAAAATCCTTTAGCCGTGGGGTTTTCCACTTTTGAATGTGCCTACAGCCAAGCATCCCAGTGATTGCTTACCTTCGACCTCCTCTCCAGTTCTGCAATCTCCCCCTAATCTCCCCACAACCATCATCTTCAATTTGCTCAAACTGCCACTGGCCCCTGTCTGTTCCCTGCTGTTTGTCAATCTCAGGACTGAAATTTCTTTATTTTAATGTAGATGGTTGGTTTTCATTTGACCGCTCCTCTCTTATGTATTATTGTTTGACATAAGTAAATAAAGCAAATGACTTCTATGTCTGTCCTGTTCCTATACTCATCCATAGTCAACCCCTCTACTTTCTTTTTATTTTTCTTTCTTGCAGTAAACATCTTCTTAACAGTTTTAAGGCTCTGAAGTGGACCTTACTGTAGTGGAGGTAAGCATATTAGTCTTAGGATTCACTTTGCACATCACCACCATATGCCAGCCTGTACAATCCTGTTGTTACCTTGGCCTTTTTCACATTTGCAGCAGTACACTGTGGTTTCCCTAAGAGCTGACAGTTTATGACGACATCCTTTGTGTTATTATTGGAAAACAACCTCACCCTGGGTAATCAAACAATCACGAAAGAAAGAATAAAGGGGACATTGCACTATGATACAGTGGGAATGCAAAGGCAAGCTAAGTCTAGTTACACATACAGTAATTTACCAAAGTGGCCTAAACGAAGTGTCCTCCTCGGAAACCTGGATGTTCAAGCTTTACAGTAACTGTCTAAATCAAACCACAGCCATACTGATCTCTGTTGCTTACTGCAGCTCATCCAAAACAGACAAAAAAACAACAAGCAAACCACATTAGTAGTTTAGTTTTACTTCATATTTTAATGTCATCATTTATAGTCTATATTCTAATGGCAAAAGAAATTGTATTTATATCTTAAAAATTATTATTTTTGCTAGTAGAATTTCAGCAGCACCACATAGTCTTACTCCAACTGCCTTCCTGAAGAAAAGGAACACAATATTCACCCTATCTAAATGTTTAACAACACAGACACCTTCAAGAGCTCAATATTGATGATTTTTTCCTTCTTTCTCTCCTCACTCCCTACCTCTCCACCCACCTGAAACATCAGATAAGCCATAGACTGATGAGCCAGCTGCCTCCACCAGAGCGTGTGGGACTGTGAGACTGCACACTGCTTTCATACATGCCCGCTCAGACAGAAAAAGAGCTCTGTGGAGCAGAAATGCTTCTCTTATTAGCAAAACTCATTCACCTGCACGCCACATTGAGTCCCTAGCAATTTCACAATAAATCATGAGGAATGCCTACAGAGGCCCAGGCAGCAGGCTGACGCTCTGCTGCGGCCGTGCCCTCGCCTGTAGATGAACTGAAAGGTCATCTCACATGCCACCTAACCAATATGTCTCTAGCTCCTCATCTCCCATTGCTTCCAGTGAATGCTCATTTCATTTAGAAATACCACACACTGGTGAAATGTTTCAATGGGGATCATGGGAGGATTTTCAAGGAAGAGAATTGGCTCTAATTAGAACTGTCTCCAGGAGCTGCCTTTTAGGTCTGGATTTTATTTTTATTTGTTTAACCAATATTTTACCCAGGGAAAATTCCACTGAGATTAACAGCCTCTTTTCCTAGGGTGCCCTTTTATCCTATAAAGAATATTGCCTCTTTTGCAATATCAGATATAGAAATCATTTGTGAGAGTGCGACCAATATACTGTAGCTTTTCTTCTCTGCGTCAGACCGCTAGACTTCAGGCAGACAATGAAAGTTGAAGCCATCAGGCTGGAGTGTTGTTTAGTGAATAAAGAATGAGTTGGCCCAAGTCCAGCCCAGTATCCGCTTGAGACTCATGAGCCTAAACACCTTTAAGCTTAACTGGCTGGACAATAACTGAACAATTTGCACTGCCAATATCTAAGCTAATTTGTTTACTTAGGACCTTTGGCTGAGACTGTCAACTTTCCCTTATGTGCAGTTACTAAATGTGGGCTGTTACAACATGATCCTGCTTGGCTGTGTCTTTGTTTGAGACACATTTGTGGCAGCAAACACACACATGCTGCAAACAAGTGAGCGATTTTGTTAGGAGCTAATGCTTCTTGTGCAAGTGTGCGGTTCCAGAGATGCTGACAGTGACACTTGCAGGACCGAGCCCTGCCCTACTTAACAGGCTGTAGGGAGGAGGGCAGGCCAACTTGTCAGTAGCGCTAGGTGCTCGCTGCTTAGATAAACCTGGAGGATTAGTGGCCCAGTTAAAGTTGGGGCAAAGAGGATTAGCCTCTTCTCTGAGGTGGCAAGAGATTCCCTGTGTCCTTCAGCTGCTGGTCTCAGAGAGAGAGAAAGTAAGGGGAGGAGAGGAAAAGGAGGGAAGCGAGGCACTAGTTATCAGGGAGAATCACCACTAACATTTTAAAGAGGAAAGGGAAAGGTGAAAGGCAATTAAGCAGGTCATAAATTGTTGCCAGCTTGTGGTTTCATTTAAAAGTCATAATTACTGACCAGGTGTTACAGCGAGGTCAACAAGAGTGAAGATCCAGAGGAAAAAAGATTTCATATGTCAACTACATCTACAAACTATAACTTATTAAGTAATTACAGTTAGCACCAACAGTGCAATATTTACAACTATAATTAAAATTATGTATTGTCTCTTGTCCTGCTCATCTGGGATCTTCTACTTGCAACACAGCAGAGGAATTTAAACCTCTGCCGCCATCAGCAGGCCAGAGGAGGAACTGCAAATAATCATTTACAAATGAAGCCTGAGCACAACTCAAGTGTAGCGTGTAATGAATATATATTTTGTCATAAATACTGTGAAACTCAAAGATGTAATCCTCAACTTTCAGTAAAATCAAATTTTGGTGTTTCATGCAAAGCATAAAATTGGAATAATGATGTAACAGTATTATAATAATAATAACCTAATATCTTAATTCTGGATGCATAAATGTATTTTAATGTTTGCTCAAACATGTTAATATCTATCTTGTTAAAACAGGAATTGTAGCAATACTAAACCAGCCTGACAAAGACAATCTTACATTTCTTTAAAGACTGTATATTGTTTTCAGCACTTCCCCAAAATGTATTTTATTATTTTAGTTTCCTTCATAATTCTTACAGGTCACTGGAGTCTATTTGGGAATTTCCTCATCTTTTATAATAAATTTAGAAAATTGTGTGGTTGATTTTGATTAGTAGCAAATATTCTAGGATAAAATAATTCAATTCAATCAAACATTTTGACAGAAAAAAACCCTCATACCTGTGCAAGAATTCCATAAAATAAATTCAGTATTTATTATTCTATGCATCATTGTGCAAACAATATAAAAATGCACGACATGTCCCTTTATAAAAGCAATGTAAACACAGTGAAAGATGACACGTGACCTTCACCAGTATTAAATTAGTGAAAATAACTTGTATGGTTTATCTGCTCCTAATCGAACCCTGTCATGCAGTACAGTAACACAAATGCACGTATACATACAATATAGTAGATGCACATAAACAAGATGCTGAACAGGGCAAGGAGCCAACAGCAATAAAAACACTGCAGAAAATAGGAGGAAGAACATAATGGCAAGGTCTGAGAGTTGATTATGCAAATACCCCAGCTGCAAAGGAACAATAACTCTGGAAATATAAAGACAAACCATAACACGGAAGACTGCTGTCTTGTATTTGCATATTTGCTTGACAGCTATAACCTGCTCATCGTGCCCATCTTGTTAAGGACATGTCTTTGTATTCATATAATAATACACACATCACAAATTGGCACAGTGTATTGTTTCAGTTCAAATAAAAACTGTGCTGTCTGAGCTGGCAGTGCAAGCCTGAGACTTCCCTAAGTTTTGAAACTATTTGATTAAAACAATATACGATAGGAAATGGCTAGAAAATACACCGTGAAACAGGTTTATCCTGTTTCTTTACAGTCAGAACAAGAAACATTCAAATCAGCTTATACAATATAATCTTCATGAACACATATAAGGACATAGAAACTAAAACCTTAAAGAACAGAAATCCTTTTCTATAATGTTTGTTTAAATGTATTCTTGAAAAAATACCTCAGATTGTAATTATATATGTAAATGTGTATTTATCAAAACACACTGCTAATACACTGATACAGTAATTATATTCCTTCTAACTATTCGAGAAGCCATGGTTCTGTTTTCTGTAACACTATAATGAGTGTGGAAATGCAGAGATATTGTGACTCTTAGAAACCTGAGTGATCAGCTTCTGATGTCTGAAATGTAGAAATACAGTACATTTTCATATCAGCTTCCCTAATCTTAGTAACAAACAAACATTGCAGCTCACTTTATCTTCAGTGCTACTTTTTTTCTCTTATTTTTAAATTTCAGCAATATAGGGTTAGTGTTTGTAATTCTATTTAGTGTTTTCCAGTTGATGGACTGAGTGATTTTTTTAAGCCGTTGTACAGCCAGTGTCTGTTTGTGTGTTCAATCCTCTGTCCTATTACACTGATTTTCTAACTGTAATGTTTACTACACTTTCTCTGGACAAAAAAGCACGAGATCTGTGCAAAAATAGTGCACTTATTGGCCAAATTGTTCCCTGCAGAGTGATCCCACGGATGCTGATGGCTCTCTGCTGTCTCTTTACAAAGACAGGACTAGTCTTTTGCAGGCGTCACTGTCCAGGCGTTAAGGGGTCCATCTCTATCAGTGCCTCACGACTCCGCACAGCCTTATTTAACTCCATCACTCGTGGAACTACTGTGGTCCAGCGGTCTGCAGGGGGGTGAAAAGAAGAAGGCATTACTTCTATCTATATGAACCAGTGAGTGTTTGCTTCACAAAATACTGTATTTGCCTGTGTATTTATTGATTAGAGCACAGTGAGAGTCTCACCTCTCTTCAAGACTTTGATGCTCTGCTGCAAGCCAGTGCCTGGATCCTCATTAATTATCGCCAGATTCTGATTCCAGTGAGACCAGTTAACCTCATCCACCCTGATGTAACAAGACATCATGGAGATGAACAGTTTTCTTTAGTGAAACTGACAGTGCTGAGTGACGGTGATTATGAGTCATGCAAAATACCTGAAGCAGCAGCGTCGATCGGATGAGCCATCAGCTTTCTTCCCCACAGTCACCATCTCCCCAACTCGAAAAAACCTGCGGAGGCAGGCTGGGAATGAGCGCTCGATGTCCAAGATGGTCGTTGCCCACTGTGAGTACACATTATTTAAACATGTTTAATTAGAGTGTTTAGCCCACTGATAATTAAAGCGAATTGACCCTTTAGCATTAAATGAAACTGTTTAGACTGAAAGAACACGCCTCTTTGACTGCCCACCACAAACAACCAGCCCACCTGAAGCTTCCAGATCTTCTTGCTCTCCTTTGACACGTGCCCCACCGTCTCCCCCATTAAAGCAATCAACATGTTGAGCAGCAGCACATAAGTGAGGATGATATAAGAAACCAACAGGACAAGAGAGATTTCTGGATACTGTGCGTTTTGGATCATGCCCATATCGCCTATCCCAATGGTCAGCTTGAAAAGGTCCAGTAAGAAAACACTGAAGGTGCCTTTGTCCCTGCAATTTGGGTAGGTGGGGCAGCCGTTTGCACACTCGGTAGGACACATCACCAACAGGGACACCAGGGCTGTGGGAACATACAGCAGGAGGATGGGTTATGTCTGTGAGGAACTGTTCAACATTTTGCCATAACCTGACAGTTTTACACTGTTAACTCATTGTTGGTTTTAGCCTCTGTATGGAAATAGCTGAAAATACTATTAATAAAATAAATTATCAGCCTTATCTTTTAAGTAATTAACTAGAGAAATACAGGTTGTGACCCTTTTTGATTTTGATATTTTTATCTTTGGAACCAGGCAAGGAGCCAGGGTATGGTCAGCTTAGCATAAAGACTAGAAACAGAGGATAAAACCCTGTTACTTGTATAGTGACAATAATAGACAGATATGAGTATGTTCTATTTCCTCATCCACTTTCAGAAGGCAAGTGAAGCTTATATACACCTGCAAAGTTAGATGGCCATAAACCTACCTGATGCATATCCGATCATGAAGAGCAAGTACACCAGCAGAAATGTGAAGATGTCTTTGAAAAGAATCTGAGAACCAAAAACAAGCAAAAAATGTAATGCACATAAACATGTGAGTTTACTGATTCATTTTCTGTCCATGTTTTTAATGATCTAACCTTCTGTATCATGATGCTGTAGACGCCAGTGAGCTTCACGCCTCTGGTGAAGTAAAGTGTGTTTATCCAGCCCAGGACAAGTGCAAACACCATCACAGACACATAGGCTTTAACACCAGACAGGTAGAGAGCAGCTGTGACTATAACTAGTACAGAATAGATGAAACTAGAAAGAACAGGGAAGGTAGGGAGATGTGATTGCTGGTATTTTAACATAATGTAGACATCACAGCAACATTACTAATGATTTAAATCAACATGGTTCAGAGAGGTGCTCGACATTCTCTGCTCTGTGTTTAATTAAAAAATATAAAATATGAAACATGCCAGAGAAGAGCTTAAGAAATTAATTAGACGACTCAATTAACAGGATGCAAAATTTGCAGTGGGTGAAAGTCAGTGAGAGCTATAGTGGACTTACTACAGCAGTTGAAAGGATCCCTCAGTAAATAAAGACTTAACCCCAGCCCACTTCTTCCTCAAGAGTTCCTTAATCTACAGAGAGCAGCATAAACATTTCCATAATGACAACAATGCTGTCATTACAGTTTTGCCTGAACAACCACTAATTACACCATAAAGATGCGTCAGATCATATTTACTCACAGTGGTGACGAAGAAGAATATTCCTGATGCGACGGTGATGATTTCTCCTGCCATTCGAACGTAGTCAGTGGATGTTACATAGGGGTATGGTGGCTGGGACAAAGGAAGAGGAGACTTAAAACAATAAAACCTGATATATATACACAGAATAAACCATATGGAAAAATATGAATTGATCAGACCAAGTGATGAGGGAAAACCACAATGTAAATGTTTTGTTTTGGCTTGGGTACAGAATAAATAACGTGGTAGAAAACTCTGAGGTGCTAGGTGGTGGGCTTTGGTGGAGCTGAACTCTGAAAAGAACCAGGATCAGCTGCCCCCCACCTGCTATGATACAAACGTTGGTGTATTGAAAAATCAGTGCTGCATGGACACATTCAGCGGTTTCACATCATGAATCACTGACCATTTCACATGCAATTTGGCCACGCTGTGAAAACATCAACCTTTTCAGTAGTTTCATACGCACCGTTCCTTGTGATGGTTGGTAATAAGCCACTAGGGTGAAGATGATCATGGTGATGAGGTAGGAAATCACACTGATGTAAAAGGTTACTGCAGCAAACTTCTGCCATTTGGCCCTCAGCAGCTCATTGATGGGCTCCACTGCCAGCATTTCATGGCGGTTCTGACAACAAAAGAAAATGTAAAATTAAAAATAAAATAAAATATAGGGAAATCCTGATTTTTGTACACACACACACACATTCTTTTATTGCACTCAGCTTTTTCTTTTCACTCAAACATTTCAGGTATTTTTATGTTATTCTAGGGGTTTGTTACTCTTAATACTCTTGATCTTGAGAGAAACATTTGATTCAGCTGTTGGAACGGCAAATAAACAAAACAGCCTTTATTCACCTCGCTGCGACTGTTGTATACAAGGATTTCCAGCACAGACTGTTCCTCTCCACCTGTTTCCAGTGACGACAGATCATAGAGGCAGGAGTACACTGGACCGTAAACCCAGTCCTTAAACTTGCGTGACAGATGACGAGCTTCCTCATCTTTAATCTCACGTCGGATAATGTGCTGAAAAATCTGGAGGAACATAGAGAAGCTGACCTAATGACCTGTCACCTGGGCACAGTAATATTATGTCAGGTACAAATATAATAATAAAAACTTTAGTTATACCAATGCTGCTTGGCAGACTACATCATTATCCCTACCCCTGTCTTGCCCAGCTTGGCGGACATCATGAGAGGTGACATGCCATCATTGTTGAGCACTGACTCCAGGTTGCATTCTGGGTAGAGCTTGGCACTTTTGATTAGCAGCAGGTCATACATCTTTGTGAGGAAACGTGTGTTATCCTTGGTGTTGTCCGCTATGTGCACTAGGGCGTGCAGCACTGTGTTTCCACGTGAATCCTGGCGCCGCAGGTCGGCTTTCTTGTCTGGATTCTCAGTCAGGTAGTGCACTATGTTGGGCTGGTTAGTGCATGCAGCCAGCGAGAGAGGAAACTCACCTGGGCAAACATAGAGCACTCAACTTCATACTGAATTCACAGGAGATGATGAGAACTGCATTTCAGATTAAAAATAAGCAAATCAACAGGAGGGTTAATTAAGAATGGTAGCTGGCGTCCGTATGTTTTAGCGGCACATACTAAACATGGATCAAAGGTTTGACTTAAATCCCTGCTATGAAAACGGCACAATTAGCAGTTGTTTGAAGGAGGGGCGCAATAGGGCCAGAGTGCCAAAAGCAGCTGCTGAAGATGAGCCGTTGCCATGGGTGACAGATTACTTTGTCACCTCACATAGAAACGCTCCTCTTCACGGATTTGCACGGGTGTATGCAGAGTGTTAGCGTGAGTCTAAATCCCATTAGCCATCAGCCCTGCCAGGTTCCTGTTCACCTCACTGCAAAGCTCCACAGCAAATTACTCACACTGTGCCTGGACACGCTGGGATTTGGGAATGACAACCGTGCTAAGTGCAAATAGAAATCATCTCCTCTGTGATGAGTGAGGACTATAATGCTTGAATGTAACACTTGAATCAAATAAAAACATTTTAAAAATTATAAATGAGTCCATAACATGTTGTATCTACTTTTCTTAAAAACGTTGTTGTAGAGTATCATTAAAATGTATCTATATATCTGATATACTATAATTATCATCAGAAGGTTAAAAGATGATGACCCTTAAGAGACGCCAGCAGAGGGCAGTGTTGAATTGACTTTTTTTAGGCTCTGGTTTATTTATCCTCCTCATCTTGTAGTATCAGTGAGATCATTCCCATTGGCAGAGGATGTTTACTTTTCTTAACTGCAGAACACAGACACCTTTCACTGGATGCAATGCTTCAGCATATGACATAATGCTTGTCTTTTTATGTTTTTGGAGCATGGCTAATGACGGTTTCTCATAAGATGCTTCAAAACCATTAGGGTCTAAGGTGGAGTTCACCAATAGACCACATCAATATCCTGACTGTATTAGTCTAGCCAAAACATGCCACGTTAAAAGAGAAAGGGTGGAGTCCTGTGTCACCTCATTTCTCCCTGGCAAACTGAGGTTTCTTTCCCAGGAAAGTGTATCACATATTAAGTATTTTAACACGGCAGCTGATAATACACATCTCAAAACCTTCATGTAAAAGAATAACCACTTATGTTAAAGTAATATCCCCATGTGAGTAAAGCATAAACTTAGTGCCAGCATAGAAATTGAAGTCACACAAACCTCAGACACACCACATCATTCAGACCATACAAGATAGAAAATACAGTAAAAAGCTTTGCAGAACTCTGTGTCTGATTGAAATACAAAAGCACAACTCTGTTGTTTTAAAACAAAATGTATGTAGTGACAAAGATCATTACCAAAGTAGAAGTTACCGCCCTCATCTTTGGGATGGAAGAAGCGTCCCCTTGCCTGTGCATGAACATCAGCTCCCTTCTCCACCAGCAGCTCCACGTACTGCTTACAGCGGCGCTCGATAGCAATGTGGAGCGCCGTCTGGCCTGGCAACACAACAAAACACAATACAGAAACATTTTTCCTATTAAAAGTATGTCTTACACTGTTTTTGTGACACATTCAGTTGAAAACATTTCGTCTGAAAGATGTAATTACTGAATTTAGGTGTCTGTAGTTAATTATATTGCCAGGCATTCTGCAACAAATTTTTTTGTTTTTTAAAACTGACTCCCAAAATATAAAGTTCAGGTACTTCCATACCTGTGAAATTAATGAGTTGGTAAATATACAAACTGAGCGAAAATAAACAGTAACATCACTTTCTGTATGACAAGGTGTTACAAGGTGAAAAGACTTCCTCACTGTTATCTCACAACCAATAACACATGTCGCTTGCTAACTACCAGTAGCTCACCTAAGGTTCTGAGAATATACAGTATGTAGTCTTCAATGCATTCATGATAAGGCTAAAAACCTTAAGACGACAGAACCTCAATTAGTGAACCTGCTCAAACTACAATCCAATCAAATACACAGTTGTCCCGCCCTCCTTTGACATCAAATTATTAATTAGCAGTCACCTGTCAATCAAATGAGTTACATTACTGTCAAGTCTGTGTACGTCATTTACGCCTTTCAGTGATGTTGGCAACTCTTTTGGACAGTGTTGCGTTAAAAGTCTTCACCTAAATGAAACAGTACACATTTACTGTACAAGAAACGAGGAGTACATTGCCATGGATTCAGTTAGTCGTGCTGTGGCCTGCAAAATGTTTAGGCTACATTTCAGTAAAGTAACACTATCACTAAGGCAAATTCGCTATTAGCAGTTGCTGTTTGCTACATACCAAATACTGGCGTTATAAGGAGTGTCTTTTTCTATGACTTCTATGAGGGGCTGTGGACATTTATTAAGATAAGTTTAAACATTTTGATACAACATGTGAATAAATGTCACTAATATAAAACATGAGTAGCTCTCAGGCGCTTTCATTTTGTCAAAGTAGCTCTGAGTAAAAAAAAAAAGGTTGGAGACACCTGACATAACGGATGAAATCCAAACAAATTATCTTCCCATTTACAAAGGTGTATACCAGTCTGAGTAAATAAATTCCTTTATCCCATGACTGGGCCTCACAACAAGTTATACTGGTTGTACTGATATTGATGTACTGAGTGGTACCAGCAGCAGTAGTACAGTACGTATATCTACGGTAAGCCTCAAGGGTCATACAGTGCTCAAGTTTGTTTTTAACACTATTTATGGTTGAAATGCTTTCATTTATTTAGCTAGTATTTAGGTTGGCATCATATAAAAGGCAAGTAGACAGAAGAATATGAAAGCCTTTGTCAGTGTCAGACTTTTGCGCGCAACATATGGCTATTTTTTGGTGTCAGTATGTACCAGTGGAAACTCGATTCATATCAAACCTGCTAAATATACGAGTATATATACTGATTCTTTCAATTTGGAACAGCACAAGTTTGTATTACAAGCCAAACGGCAGAAACATGTAAAGTGTTTGGGCTAGTAATTTTGATAAACAGTCAGAAATTTGTGTGGATCATTTTTAGGCAAATTTCTTGTGAGTAGTGAGTTGGATGGTGGTAACTTTGCTTGTTTATCTAGCATCATTGTAGCAGCACTAAACTTCATCTAAACATGTTACTGGTGTTTCTTTATTAGACAACACCGCCCAGGTGTGACAACAAGAATGGTGTGACAGTAGCAGGCTCCTGTGGTTGTTTAGTTTTTGGTTTAGACGTAGTTATTATGGTGAAATTTACTGTAGAAATGCAGCTAACACTGAAGACTGGAGCTGTCCAGAATCCAGAAACATGGCTTGGAGTTGGTAGGTGGCTCCTCTTCAGTGCTGAGGGAGCTGACCAATCAAAGCAGACTGGGCTTTTAGGGAGTGGGGCCAGGAGGTGAAACAGAGTGTGTTCACACAGAGGGAAAAGAGGTTCTGGCACTACTGGCGCTCTGAGGAAACTAATGAACTTTATAAACATACAAGGGTGTATACGTTTTCTAGTCAAACCTTTAAATAACAATATAAACCTGAATATGAGCATAATTTTTGACCTTTAAACTACAGCTGAGTTTTATGTAACAGTTATTTTCAGACCTCTGTAGTAGACATCCCTGAAGGGTGTATTTATGAACTCTCTGAGGCTTCCTGTCTTCTCCGCGATGTCCACCAACACTGGGATGGTGTCATTCTGACCATTGTAAAGGTTCATCAGGGCTTTAGGCAGACAGGTCTTACCCGTAGATGGCTCTGGTAGAAAGATAAAAACCAAATAATGTTTTTTATTTAGAGGAGATGACTGATAATGACTCTTTGTTTTGTCTCATTTCAGTGTCACAGAGAGGATCCCACAGCCCTATCTGATGAACTGAACTACACCTTCATCAGTCATTCAGTCCTTGCGATGAATAACATTACAAATGTTTTGGGATTTGTTGCATGGAAATAACTAATCAATGTTAGAAAGACTAAATGTTAAACACAGGGGTCAAACAAGCCTTTCACTCTTTTTAGTCTCTCGCTTTTTAAAGAAGACTGTAAAGCCCCATTTAACTCACTCAGAAGCATGACAGTTTGCTGTGATTTCTCTCTGTTCCTTGTCATAAACCTGAAACAACCTCTCACACACAGAGGGAGTTTACCTTAGGCCTGCCTCTAGCAGGACTCCACCTTTTTCCTCTCATATCCTCGCAGCCAAAAGCAGCAGAGAGAAGGGGGGGAGTACACATGTTCAAAGGTAAAGCAGCCAGAAAATAAAGCTTTTAAAGTTTCTGCTTAAGTCAAAATGTAGGATTTAGAATTTTAACAAAAACTATCAAAGTGTGATGTGAGAAATGAATATATGTCACCTGCATTTTAAACCATTTTTATTCCCTTGAAGTCTAACTTTTCAGTGATCAGTTCAGTTGAAAAAGCAGTACGCAGATATTTGACAATATCTGATGACAACCTGAGCATTGTAGTCTCACCTCTGAACTCCTCATCAGTTAACCTCTTTCCACGACTTTTCAGGTACTCCAACAGGCCCTCGAGGGCCCCGGGGTCTCCACGTGACACACACTCAAAGAGGAGATAGCGGTTGAATGTTTTTATTACCTTTGGTGTGTCTGCACTTTTACCATCATCACTGGATATTGGAGTTCTAAGGAGGCACAGAAACATGACACGATGTTATATCGCTGGTAAGATGCAAAACAGCAATACCTGGAATTCTATCTGAATCAGTGGATTCTTTTTACATTTCACTGCCTGAAAATTAAGATGTGTGTTTGATGCACAGACTGTCTTTTAGGCGTACCCACACCCTTGAGTACTTAGTCAAATAGACCTCTGTGTACATGGGACAGGTACAGCTGCCAGAAACAGGCAGCAGCCTAAATATTACCTCAGCGGCTGCAGAGCGGCCAACAACATGTTCTCTGTCAAATCAGTGAATGGACTGAATGAAGGACTGCTTGGCCCAATGTGTGTGTGTGTGTGTGTGTGTGTGTGCATTCTTCCTCATGTGGTACACCTCTGTCTACAGAGTGTTTTTGTTTTTATGACAGCGTTTTTCCCAGCTAGCCCTGCAGTCAATGCCTACTACTGTTGAGACAGAAAACTCCTGAACCAAAAGTTTAAAGGAACCCTTCTTCTTCTTCTTACAGATACTAAATCATGGAAACACAAATTATTTGTAGTTTAGAGGCAGTGAGGCTCCTTCTCACCCTCGTGGAAGCTTCTTTCTGTGTTTCTGCTTCTGGTTGGCCGGGTTGCTGATCGTACCATAGTCAAAAAGCGAGTCCATGGGTGCTTTCTTTGGACAGGGAACCACATTTGACTCATATCTGGTAGATTCCAGTAGGTCCGTAGGGGTGGAAATGCCCTTCTTGAAAGCACCCTGGAACTTCATGCGTAGGTTCTGTCTGCCGTCTGCAGGCTGCCCAGGCTGAACCTGCTCTGGGGCTGAATCCTGACTGGTGTCCTGAGTTGACGGTGAGCCATCAATGCTGTCAACCAAGTGTGAGAACTCAGACAGGGGGAATGCTGCGTTGCTTTCAGGCTGAGCGGCTGCGCCATCACCTGAGTCCACAGATTGGGCAGCTCCAGATGGAGTAGACGGAGTGGTGTCAGCCTTGGAAAAGGCCCATTTGAAGAGTCCAGAACGGCGCTGGAATAAAAACCATGATAAACTATTCAGAGTGAACTCACTCTGCAGCTGCATGGCCTTTAGATAATCAAAAAGGTCTTGTACAAGTGGAAAAAGAAGTCTTAACCTATTCAATTTCAATTAGACTTCTATGAACACTGAAATAGGAATATTTAACTTCAGACATATTTCATAACTCAGTCAGAAACTGTAACCTTAAAACATTTGGCTTAGGGATCATCAGCAGTGTTAGGCTTTAATTTCTCACTTGCAAGAAAAAGTAACAGCACTGTTTGCAATTTCCTGGTTTTCTCCATGAATTTTTCATGAAATATGATTTGATCTTTATTAAGTCACAAATATCAACAATCAACATCATCAATAACAACAGATCATCGTTATCTTTCATGTCTTAATTGAACACCCCCATTAAACATACAAAGTGATGGTGGCAAAACTAATGGCAACAGTGTTGCCTCAAGCAAGCGCTTCCTCTAGCTGTGCATTAGCCCTGGACAACATTCAGGAGGAATTTTTGACCATTCTTCCTTACAGGGCTTCAGCTCAGCCATGTTCTTAGGACATGTAGTGTGAACAGCTCTCCTGAGGTCATTCATAGCATCTCTATTGGGCTGAGGTCTGGGCTTTGACTGGGCCACTCCAGAAGGAGGATTCTGTCTCTGAAGCCATTCTGCAGTAGATTTATTTTGTTTATAGTCATTGTCCTGCTGCATCACCCAGCTTGTTCTGAGCTTCAGCTTGCAGACAGCCACCTTAACATTTTCCTGTAGGACACCTTGATAAACTTGGGAATTCTTTTTCCCCTCCACAATGGCAAGCGGTCCTGGTCCAGAGACAGCAAAGCAGCACCAAATCATGTTGCTCCCTCCACCGTACTTAACTGTTGGGATGATGTTTTCATGCTGGTGTGCTGTTCTCTTTTTATGCCATACATAGTGCTGTGTGTTCTTTCCAAATAATTCTACCTTTGTTTCATCTGTACACAGGACATTTTCTCAGTAGTGTTGTGGAGTCTGAAGGTGGTCTTTGACAAACTTCAGGCATGCTGCAGTGTTGTTTTTGGAGAGCAGTGGTTTCCTCTGTGGTGTCCTGTCATGGATACCACACCTGTTCAATGTTTTGCATATGGCTGACTCATGAACAGAGATGTTAACCAGCTCCAGTGAATCCTTCAAGTCTTTAGCTGTTACTCTAGGGTTTGTTTTTACCTCATTGACCATTCTGCATTGTGCCTTTGGAGTGATTTTGGCTGGTCACCTACTTCTATGGAGTAACTATAGTACCAAATCTTCTCCATATATAGACAGTATGTCTAACTCTGGACTGATTAATGACTCACATCAGCTGATGTTGCTTTTGAATAGCACACTGGCACTAGTTGAGTGTTTTTATAAGTCTAATCTAAACCACACCTCAGTTTTCAAATTTCATTGATTGGACTCCGGGTTTGCTAACACCTTACTCCAGCGGATGCTCAGCGACATCAGAAACCGAGTGTTGACATTACTTTTTCCACCATCAGTTTATATGTTTAATGGGTGTGTTCGATAAACACATGAAAGATCATGACTCTTTGTGTTTTATCAGCTTAGAAATATTCTATTTGTTGGTATCAGTAAAGATCAGATCTCATTTCATGACCACTTTATGCAAATAGTGTAAATAGGTGAATCTTATTTGTAAAATTTCTCTCCGACCTTTCCTCAGTTGCATGGTTTTCTTGCTTACCTGAGCACCATTAAGAGAATTAAGATGTCCTTAACTATGTTGGATCTGATCATGTGGAAGGAGGATGTACAAATAAGAGATATGAGATGCAACTGGTAGTAATGGTCAACAGGCAAGAAAGGAAAGTTTGAAACAGTATGAGATCTTTTTGTATCTAGAGGCAATATTTTTATGTTATATTTGTATGATTTTAGATGATGTTTGCCAGACAAAAATTTCACCCAAGGTGGTAAGCTACTCAGATCTGGACACAGCTCATCTCATGATCAATTTTAAAAATAGCCACAGTCCTTAAATTGTGTTTTGTTTCATGAAAACATATTAATTTTATTAGAATGTTAGTAAAGGTGGTCTTCTTTTCAGGTTCAACTCCACTATACAACACTGCAGGAAACCCTAATATAGCAATAGGATTTTGTTTGCTAGCCACTATGATGAGAGAAAATTGAGTAAAATTAAGTTGTATCTCATGAGAAATTGTTTAAATGCTACAATTCCCAAAGGAACCCTGGAAAGTTGAAGCCACTTATAAAGTATACAGTTGACATTTAACCCCTTTTTACCTCATTCATCACTTTTATCGCAAAGATGTGCCAAATTCCTCTTCAGGTGAAACTGGAAATGATGCTGAAGCATGTAGGTGTCTGTAGAAACAAAAAGTTACTATGTTACCATTAGATGAATTACTGACACAGAATTATATACAAAAAATCTTAAAGTCCTAATAACATAACATCTCTGTCATTTGGGGCTCACAGTCAACAGCCAAATCAACGCCATCCAGATTTACTCTTTACAGCCGATAGATGGTCTTTTATTTCCCAGCCTCTCTGCACACACAAACACTACTGCTACAATATGCTATCACAAGGAAATTTGTAAAGTATGCAGTCCTCACATGTCCCTCCACAGCTTCCTTTCAAATCATACTTTTCCACAAGTTTGGTCAGGACTGCCTGGCAGTTAAGCAACACAAACATGGGAGGTTGAGTCCCCCTAATGCAGAGGAATGAGTAGTAGCCCTGTCTGACACAGGATTATCATGCCTTTACACTTCAGCAGGCATGTAATAGCAAAACGACAGAGGAACACAGGGGGGCTTTCCCTAATAGACTATTATAACAAGACTAGGAACAAAGGATGGGGTTGTTTAGTGGACATGTCTGAGGGCAGAGATGAGCCCACTGTGTATTAAAGCTGTCAGGGTAATAGAATGGGATCATAAAATACCAAGTAGACCCAAAGCTCACATATTAGCCACTTACTGGGTCAGGAAGTGGAAATTCACCTGTGAAAGTTTCTAAATGTGGCTGACTCTAATGTCTCCTCAGAGACGTGGGACTTCATGCTCTGTCACTGCTGATGTGACACTATCCAGAGGCCTGGAGCCAAAGTAAGAAAGAAACAAAAAGTCTTTCAATTTTTGATTTTAAGGAGTAAGGGTAATAGCAGCCATCAAAAACATCTAATATATTTATGTCTTAAGCTGCCATAAAGTAATTAAATGCCAACTTTTAAAAACACACAAGGTTATATTAAAGCAGTAAATAATGATAGGCTTTAAAACACTGAAATCGGTAAATAAACTCAATTACAAGCAAAATGCTAAATTTGTGGAATCGTTAAGAAGTTTAGGCTTCTTTCTAATTAAGGCTATAAAACCTTTAGACACAGGAAAAGTATCTTTCCCGGTCTTACCAAACTTGTATTGCTGCCACCCTGACAAAAAATATGAGCTGTATTTCGTTATATTGAAAAACATTTTTCGTTTTTACGAGATACTTTCACGTTAAACAAACAAAAATTCACGTCACAAATGAATATTGTGGGTTTATTAACCAAACCAGTGATTCTAAAGGACACCTCCTAAGCCCAATGCTGGTCATTGTGTGGAACGTTGGTGTCACGAAAAGGGGGAATGCGGGGACCACACCATTATGGGATATGGAGTACTCTAGCATATACATTCATCACAGCTGGGGTGTGTGTGTGTTGATGACAGAGGTGCTCCAGCTGCGCAATGCTCCTGCAAGAGGTTCTCGGCAGGCAGCGCTCGGCATAACCCCGGTCTTTGAGAGTAACTTTAGAAAAGATCCACTCTGGAGTATGTGTTACACATTAGATTATACACTAGGTCCTCACGTGTCCCTCCAGCAGCTGTTCTCTCATCAACACCCATACCAGCCTTCCACTCAGTGACCAGAGCCACGATACCCCGCACATGTCCCGAACACAACAGGTAAAGTCAGTCTGTGCGTTGCTGTCACTCACTAAAAGCTCACATTAGGGAGTAGAGGTGATATTATCCCTTTTCTAGAATGTGTGTTAAAATATTAGATGATTCTTCAGGCTATAAACGTGAAACTACATTTCTATCCAATTTCAACTCGTTGTTATTATGAGAGAAATACAATATCTGGTCATAACGAGATACTGAGAAATTCTTTTCTCTGGGTGGCACCAATACGCTACCGTAAGAAGCAGATGTGTTACTTACTGTGTTCTAACTTAGTCGATCTTGTTTTCTTCAGGAAGTGTGTATTCCACTGCTTTTTTTTATTATTATACTTAAAAAATCTCTCCAACTTCCCTTCGCCTGGTGAGCGCTCCTCTGCAGGTTTAATGTGACTCCATGACACGGTGTTATATCTAAACTGCAGTCCTACTTCTCTGTTTCGTGAGTCTGAAAGCCCAACAGAACAACGGATGCCTTCGGGGGATTTGGGGGTGGGACAGAGTGGCCGCTCACCTTGCCTGAAAACCGGAGCCGCGCCAACACGGAAGTATAGGCCTGTGTTTAGGTGCTGACTGGCTCCAGAAAATCTAAAGATGCGTCAGAGACCCCGTTAAATCCTAATACCCGGGAGTTGTTTATGGGGTACGTGGAACTTAACGTGGAACTGGCCTTCACCCCAACCAGTTACCTCTATGTACTCCTGGGTATTGGGACCAGTTTACCGTGGGCAAAGGGACCACCACTTGTAACTGTAAATGCAGGCTGCTGTTATGTGAGGGGAAGTTGTGGATATGTGATTAAAAAGCTATGTGTAACAAGTTTTGTGTGTGTGTAACTAAAATGTATTCATCACCAATTTGCCAAACATGAAGCATTTCCTTTTCATACTCTCTGCCTATTTATTAGGCCTATTTGACTGCTGAGTCTGCAAACGTTAATGTAAACACCATTCAAATAGCACAAGAGGACATTAATATAGCTTTTGTGGAAAAGTGGTTCTGCTGGTATCAGTCATATTGATGGTATCTATAGTCAAAACATTCTTCCTCTTAGGGATTGATGTGCCCGCCCCTGGGTGTCAAGTTCTCTTGCTTATTCCAAGAAATAGCAAGACCGGTTTGTGCAGTTTATTTGTCATCACTAAAACCTTGTTGTGTCACCAGGATCCTTCTTTTCAGCTGTTGCTCCATTAGACCGGAGTTGATAATAGGCTTTGTGTCGGTAATACTCTCAATAATACACATAGGATGTCAATTTCACAGGTCACTTGCTCTATATTTATTACTACATTGTTTCACTGGACGTCATCCATTGTGAAAGCTGCAGAACAACCACACCCTGAGGTCTGTTTAGTTGCTTTGTTTAAGCTCCATCATCTCACATAATTTCTCAAATACTGATCCATTTCTTAGCTATTCATTCATTCATTCATCTTCTATACCGCTCAGTCCCTCTTAGCTATTCAAAATCACACAAATGAGTGTGTGTGTGTAGTAAATCAGGAAGGTATGGTGAGCCTGCCTCCAGAGGGAGCATGAACACAACAGAAAAATAAGGATCCTGGTTAAGCCACCAAACTCTAGGCACCATTTAATTTACCTGTGCTTATTTATAGCTTTAACAGCTTTTATAGAGTGAAAAATACATATTTTTCAGTGCTGTAGTTGACCCAAATTAAGTTTAATGTAAGACCATGTATCATTGCACAATAGGAAAAATCAATTACAAATAAAAGTCCACCATTAATAATTTTATTCAAGCAGAGGCCTTAGCAGAACCTTAGATTCTTGGATATTCTTACTTAGCATTAATGTGTAAGCAGTAGTTTTAGTTACACCAATGCATCTAATTTTATTAGATGGCCATATGATTTATATATAAATTACAAATCTTCAAAGTAACAAGTAACTTTAAGTGTGTGGTAAAGTAAACATTTCCCTCTGAATGTAGAACTATAAACACTCACAGTACCATACACAGATCTGGAATAAACGTGCTTGGTTATTTTTATTGCAAATTGTTTACATGAGCTCAAAATATAACATTTGTTATTTTGCATCTTGCATACACTGCAACATAATTTCAGCCACAAGACAGACAAACATTTCAGTCATTCGAAACAGTGATGAGAGGCCATCAATATAACTTCTCTCCAAAGCTTACATTTGCAAATCATGTGAAATCTAGAAGGCAAAAAAACTGTAACACTTTGTTTTCTCATTAGTGAGGTTGAAGGAAAATGCACCTGAGAGCACAGAAGGCTGAAAAACATGAAAGCAGGTGAAAAACTATATGCAAGCCCTGTACAGCAAAAAAGTCTAATAGAGTCAGAGCAGACCTTTAGTAATAATTAATATTTTGTTCTTAATTGGCCCGCCTGGTTTACACAAACTCAAACAGTATGTACAAAAATATATAAGATAAAAGGCAGAAGAGCTGACATGGTCACTTCAATGATCCATACCTCCAGCCTAAGGCACAAACAAGTGTACACAACTAATACAGTGCAATTACAACTTCAAGGTGCTGATGGGTGTTTTAATAACCCATGCCAGGAAAAAAAATCTAAACTGGTGAAGGAAATCAAACACTGTAAGGCAATATAATGGTTAAACTGTAACTTCATTATAAAGCTAATAGGACTAACACAAATGTAAAATTGTTCATTAAAGAATAAAAACGGCAAACAAACCACAGAACATTCTGATTAACTATAATATTTGATGCATAAGATAAAAGCTGTGACTTCCTCTCTAAAATGTATTGGATTTTTATCAATTTACTTCAAAATATAAGAATTAGACCCATATTTCAATAAGATATTTTAATAATTATAACACCTGTTTAAATGTACTATGATTATTTGATTTGATTTATTCTTTCAAGCATGTAAAGACAGTTGATATGTCAACACACATAATTTTACACATATCCAACAAATGCTAATCCATTATCAATTTGCTTATACCTAGTACATGCTTGAATGGAGTAGGAAGAAGTCAGACTTATCCAGTCCTACCCCCTGACATCATCTTACCATCATTGGTTTGCAAGCAGTATCTCTACATAAATAATTCTCTTCTACACCACACAAGTAATATACTAAAAAATTATTACAGAGTGTTAACATTCTTACATAATTACATTCTTAAATAATTAACTTCTACACCACACAAGTAATATACTACATGTGTCTTCAAATGGAGAATAAAAAAAATACAGAGTTTAGATGTGAAGATGCAACAGTAAGGACAAGGAGACTAGACCAGGTACACAGATAATTAACAGTGCAAAAATATTTGATGTGTAATGATAGAATACTGTAAGTGCTCTCCCATAGTGAACTGTCAGATGACCTAAATGGAGCCAAGTCGACATGTAGACTATAGAATGTAAATGACTTTGTAAGCTAAGTGGATCGCTGAAGGAAAGAGGAACATCCTGCAGTCACACTTTGTAGTCAAGATCAGCATTCAGCTTATAGTACATCTCATAAATAGTATCAACAGTGGCAGAGAAGTTGACGAGGAATTTCCTGATTTTATCAAAGCATTCCTCTTCCTTAACATCCCGTCCCTTGGAGAGGGCCTTCAGGAAATCTGCCTTATATGGAGCAGCAAAAAGAGCTGCCTAAAAGCAAAGAAATATGTCAAATTGATACACATTTCTCAATGTATAAGATAAAATCCTACATCTCTGCCTTATACGCGTTTCTGTTTTTTGTGACAACTCTGAACACACCTTGAAAAGCTGCTGCACCAGCCAACCGTGGTATCTTTTTAGGGATACATCATAGGCTTTAGTGACATTGAATCGAATGAGGTTGGGGTTGTTTTCATCTCTTTCACAATCCACCAAACTCTGAAGGAGGACTTGGATAAACTTTAGGCCCCTATTTAAAAAGGAGATGCATACTAATTACAATATGGATACAAAGCTTGCCAACAATAAAAAAAAACAAACAGATGTAATGTTTCTAAAAACCTTTTTAGCCACATGAGAGCCAGCGTCGCTCCAACTCTAGGCCACGCTTCTCCATACATTTCCCTCTCTGCCTCCAAAATCTGCTGAAGTGTCTTGAACCGGACTGGGTCGGTATCATAAACTGCCTTGATCTTCTAATTGTTATAATAATACATTTTAATGAAATTTATGACAACTATAGGAGCAGAGCAACAGCTTTCACTCAAATCACATCAAAGAATAATCATACTTACTGTGATGTTCCCAGATATGTCAGCTTTGATTGGTGCAAAAATAGTAGAGCCAAGGCAGTCTGAGGAGAAATATTCACACAGGGTGTGAACTGAAAGCACAACGGCATGAAAACCTAGGCATAATACAGTACATGTAAATGAGATTATTAGCATCTATTGGAGCTTCTAATGGTGACCAACCTACATTAATTAACTCAGAAGCTAACTATCAAAACTTGACTTGAGTGCAGGTTTGTATGAAAACAAGGCTTTTTGTTTGCTTCATCAGAAACGTTTGATTTCTGTTGTCAATTTACAACCAAGAAAATGCCAAAACTTGTCAGTGACTCAGGCATATTTTTAATATACCACTGAACACATTACATTTTCAGTGGCTATAGCGTTCGTTTATGTATAAATAAACAATTAAATGCAAAAAACACAATTGAGATATTACTATTATTATTAAAACTAATTAAATTATGTTCAATATTTATGCTGTAATGGGGCTGCAGTACAGTAGTAGACCAAGCAGATACAGAATGTACATGCAATGCCGTCAAACACTGTCTAAATAAATGTTTTAACAAATGTGTAAACCACATTTTACAAACTTTAAATTGCATATTGGGAATGCTGTACACCAAATAGTTAAACCAGAAGGTAAAGCCAATATACCTTATTAGTCAAGGCAGCTTTATTTACACATTTCAAGCATACAGGCAAGAAAGCATTAGCAACATTAAAAACAATATGCATTAAAACCTGAATAAAAGTAAGACAAACACAAAGCACTGTTAAGATGAAATAAAATACAATGAAAATAAAAACAAATCAGAAACACAACTATAGTGCAGTCAAAGAGCAGTAATAAATTGTAAGTTGCCCTCAATGCAAAAGAGGAAACTCAAGTGCAGCAAAGAGACTGGTCAGTAAAGGACACTGGAGTATTCAGTTTGGATTTGAAACTGACTAAGAGTTGGGGCACAATATTCACTCATCAGGACCAATACCAAAGGCCAAGCAGGTGTCCTTTCATTAGGCTATCAGAAGACCTGAGTGTTGGGTGATGGGATTGGGAACAATAAGACATGTAGAGTCCCGACCACACACGGCTCCTGGTTCAGCCACTGACACAACAAACAGCTTTCAACCCCGGAGCTGTTACTGGAAACTACTCAGGGCAAAGTCCTGCTGGGCCACAGCAGTGATGGCATCATATCTTATTTCAGAGAAATCATTGTACAGTATGGTTCTGTTTTCTGCTCTCTTCAAGGGATTAAGGATTTTCATTACAAATACACAGTGCTTCTGGAAATTATGGGAAATTAGACTAAATGAAACCTCTAACAAGAACAAGTCCTTGAATACATTTAACAAACAGCTTTATCTGAACCCCGCACACCCGCATAGGTGTTAATTATTCTGGCTAATTAGACTTCTCAAGTTGAAGCTGGACAGAGTCATGAAGCTGGCATCAATAAAATACACGACTTTACACTTAAAATAATCAAAAATATTAGTTGTAGAAGAAAAGGTTTAATGAGGCAAAATAATTTAAAATGTGAATGTACTATGAGTGTGCAAGACTTTAAAGGCTTGTAGAAAAGTTGGCCAAGGACTTCCTAGGTCAAGCAAAACAATGGTTGAAAAGGAGGGAAGAATTTAATATCAACATCAGACTTGGTTCCTCTCAAGGGTTTCAAATTCAGTAAAGGACCTTTGGCATATTAATACAGAATGAAGTCACACAAACATGCTCTGGTGCACCATGCATCTGGTGAATGGACACAGGGAACTCAACACCGTACTAATCACTTCACAACTTAAAATCCAGGCCAGTGGATTAAATTATGCATGCTAAAGGATTGAGGACAGCTTGGTGGAGAGAAATATGATCCAAAAAAAGATTATCATTTGGAAAGAGCAATACCATTTTATCAGGCTTGCCAGAAGTGTTGTGACAGATTTCCCTCATTACAAGTTTTGTGTTTATTATTCAAAGCTGAACAAATCCCTCATGAAAAATTTACAACAACGTAAAAAGCGGTCTATTATAGAGGGCTACTTAAAGTAGTTGTTAGGGCTCACTGGCTAGGTAGGACCCAAAGCGCAGACACACGAGCCAAGAGAAGGTTCAAGTAGGAGTTTAATAAATAATACTGGACAAGAAACTAAAGGAAAAATACAGGGGCTCAACCTGACAGAGAAAGAACGCCAAAGCTTAACTAAACAGTCTGGTCAGGGAGCAAGGAAAAAGAACCAAAAAAATACCAAACCAGAGAAACTAACTAAGGAACTACCCACAGATAGATCCCAAAACACAAAGGAACAAACCAAACTAAACTAGGGCAGGAACAAACAGAAGACAGATTCAAAAGTTACAGGAGTACAAGAACAGACAGGGTGGGATGGGTAGACGCAACAAGAACACAAACTGGCAGGATGTGGTGAACAGAGATAACAACCACATGAACTAGCGTGGCACAGTGAACAGAGATAACTAGCGTGGCGCAGTGAACAGAGATAACAACCACATGAACTAGCGTGGCGCAGTGAACAGAGAATGAACCAGCAAGAGACTCAGGGATAGGAAGGAGTACATATATATATATATAAGCAGGAGACCAGAGGCTAATGAGCAGCAGGTGGAAGCAATGAACAGTAATTGTGAACCAGGGTAAAGCTAGGGCAGGTGAGGTGACACAAGACAGGAAACTAACCGAAATAAAAGCACCAAACAGGAAGCAGGTCCACAAACCATAACAGAAATCCTGCATTTTTGTACCTATTCAGCCTATTTAACAGTCCGCAGCACTTATTATACAGCACTATAAATCTACAATCTTAAAACTAATTATCACTTTGTCAGCACCATCAGTCTGGTCTATGCTGTAGCCTCTGACAACTCTACTGTATTGTTGTGATAAGCTGAATGGAAATCTGTGTGTATAGCAGAGCCCAGTTTTTCTGTAAGCAGTGACATCTAAGCATAAGCTCTTCACATTTATTTCCACATAACTTCATATCTAGGAATGTCACTATATGGTCTCTACTGTGTCACACTGTGGAAACTTCACTTACCAAAGAACATAGGGAGATGTGACACAGCCTCCAGAAACGGCCTTGTCTCCACCTGTCTGTCAGCTGGCAGCTGCCTGAGCTGGTGCTCCATTAGCAGAGCCATCTCTTTAGACACACTGTTACCTCTGAAATGATAATAGCAACAGGCTGTCAGCCCTCCACTGCAGATTTACTGTGACACCAGAGAAACTGTGTGTGAATCAACACACACACACACACACACACACACACCTCTCTCTCTCTCTCTTTCTTGCTCTCACACACACACATTCACATTCACATTCACACCCAAGTCACCTACACTGAACACAGGTGATGGTGGAATATCAGGTTGCCCTCTCATGTGATCAGCAGCTTGTCACTGATAGATCCGCCACCTGTCAACTAAATGGGTGGTCAGACAGAGGTCTAGAACCAGTACAAAAAGGGACAGCACTTGATGTGCTCCCATTGGCTGATACTAGTCATCATCTGCCTTTAATCACATATGATGCTTTACTGCCAACTAATGGGGTTTTGTGGAATATCTCAAAATGAAAAATAGCCCATGTAGGCTACCTACTTTTTACCCTATTTAATCACTAAGCAAATGCAGGTGGTGCTTGCTCTGCCTTGATAGCCTCATACTGTGTAATTCTAACAGTACAAAAGAGAAATACCCTAATAGGCTACTATGGTTAATAATAATGTTGACCATAGGCTATTGCTACTGGTTTTATTTTGTTCTTAAAGGAACTGAGAGAGAAATGAGTGCAGACCAGATATATTATCAGTAGACTAGGCATACTAATTATTGGTGCTGTATGTACATTTACTCCTACAGCCCACAAATTTAAAATATCCGGAATATATTCATTTTCTGCTACTTTACAGGTTGGGCTACTTGTATTTTTCTTGATGTTTCCTGGGAATAAGAGCTATAAGATAGCAAACAAGTTATATCTTATTAGAAAATTTACACCGACTTTTTGATTCTCCAAATTATTTAAAAAAAAAAAGAAACAGTAAAAGTAGACTATTGCAGTCGGAAGCTTTAAAGAAACGCGTTTTACATCTAATCACGTAAGCAATTTTGACCTTTACTTCATTCCGTAGCGTGGGAGTAACTAGGAAGTGAATCGGTACCTAATATGGTAGCTAAGGAAAACTGGGCATTAAATAAACACGAACATCCTGTCCATAAAATGATAAACGTCGAGTCATTTCAATAATCACCAAGAGAAGGCAATCGACTTTACCATCAGACAGGTAATGAAGTATTATTTGTCTATCTATTGGCTAAATGTCCCTAATTAGCTAGCTACATAGCAGTGTTGCCAACTTGGCGATTTTCTCGCTAAATCTGGCGACTTTCCAAATCCTCTTGGTGAGTTTTTTTTTTGTCAAAAGCGACTAGCGACAAATCTACCAACTTTTTCTGGTCTTATTGGAGACTTTTCTAATGTTTTGGAGACTCTGACGTGAAACCGCGTATCGCTCTGCAGTTACTGTCCTCAACGAGCAGTGGGTGCTGCCGTGAGCCCCTCCTCCGTCCCAAAGCTCTCACAGGCGGTCAGTCTCACAGTAGCCTCGCGCTGCAGTCAGAGCGGAGAGGAGACCCACACCGCTCCGCAGCGTTTAGACTGTAAATGGACTGCGCATGCGCAAAGCCGCCGCTGATCCCGCACTGTAAGACAGGGCGGGAAGTAAATGTTTTTTTCACTGTCACACTAAAATAAATCGCTGCATTTGACTCACAGCCTCAATCACTTACTCACCTCGTCCACTGTGTGTGTGCCTCTCTGTGATATAAACTAAGCATCTAGCTAGCTAGCTCATCATGTCTCAGTCTAAACTGATATTTTATATTTTTGTTCCAGTGAAGTATGAGTTGGATAAACCTAGGGGAATTTCTTTAGCAAGTGATTATACTGGTGCATGATGATAATTGTTGCCTTAATTATGTAATGAAGTTGTAAGTCCTTAGTAACCACTGCATCCCAACTCTGAGATTCTGGATCACAGCAATCTGACAGGTAGTTTTTCTTTGAAGGGGACTTACCTGTATACTTCAGGGTGAATTTTATTTTTAGTTTTAATTTTACTGACATTATCAAGCTTTATGTAGCAACAGATTTGTTCCCCTCTAGCTAAAACTTAGAAATCGTATGTCCTTGCAGACCCTCAACTCCATCCTGTATGTCCGATATGGTCTGAAGTTGTCTGGTGAGGCTTGCTATGAGCACAAGCTGCCTGATAATGTTTTGCAGCTTTTTGGCACATCAGCTGCTTACTCATTTGAGTCAGCTCCCTTAGTTGCTGAACCTGCCATAGAAAGATGATCTACTCTTTCTGTGAGCCAGCACAGCTTGTGTGTGGAGGGGGGTCTGAAAAAACAATAAAGCTGAATTAGGGCCAGACTAGTTACCATCATTTTCTCACATTGCCAGTTACACTTTTTTCTGTTGTCTCTTTTTGATCCATTTAGATTGTTAACGTTGTAACTCTGCCAGAGTGTCTCTTTTGGGTCACTTTGCTGGTCCCAAGCCCAGATAAAGGAGGAGGGATGGGCGTCGAGCTAGCAATTATACCTTTGTTGTCATTTGTAGTTCTAAACATATTTAGAGTGTTTTTACTCACTCAGGACGTTATTCCTCTCTCCTACAGTGTCCATTACAATTACTTGCAAAATAGACAATTATGCTACTTAGGTGATGATGTCATTTCCTTAGGAGCTGGCAACACTGCTACATAGCCTAAATATGGTATTGAGAATAACTTAAAATTAACGCTATTCATGTTTGACTTACACTCCATGTTAGCTATACTAGGGTTGGAGTCATTACAGTTATGTGTGCTAATTATGATTCAGGTCGATGGCTCTGCCGACCCTCTCGACCTATATGCCCAGTCGGTCCCGGATGCTGGCCGACCAGCTGGCCCGGCAGCGTGAGCGGGAGGCCCAGTTGCGGCAGCAGTGGGAGCTGCATGCACAGTACTTCAGAGAGCAGAGTGCTCGTAGCCAGAAACAGGCAGTGTGGGGCTCCCGTCACTCCTACCTGCAGAGGTAAGTTCATCTGCCAGAGCGGGTCTATCTCGATTTATTCAAGAGGTACTTGTTTTTTACTTTAATGTTTAGATTTTTGTTATCTTATAATTTTATTCCACTGCATGAGGAAATGCACTTTTTTTCTTCACTGCTTAGAGGGGTGATCTATGGGGTGCTGACCGTACACAAATACTATGCAATGACAGAGATTAAACACATATTGCCCACAAAATAATATATTATTTATATAATATACAGTAATGGTGGCATAGTTTTTCAGCCTTTTAGGTACATAGAGTAAATGGTACATAGAGTATTATGTAATACTTTATCTCTAGTATATTCTCTGTCAGTTTCATCAGCTGACAAAAGACACCCAAGAAAGACAACCCAAGTTATTTTTTCACTGTTTTGTCAGTATGTCAGCATACCATAAACAGAGACTGACAGAGGAAAAGAAGGCCAAGTTGGAGCAGCGCAGGAATCGGCTCAGGGCCATGCTTCAAGAGGAGCAGGACCGGCTAGAGGCAGAGCTCCGGGAACTGGTCCCAGATAGGAGCACACTTGCAAGTCAGTTGGTGCAAAAAACTGAAGAGCTTCGTACGGCAAGAGAGGAAAGAAGAAAAAAGGTAGTTGTATTGAATTAGTTGCATATTTCCTTTTCAGTACTGGGTCACAGTGCTCTGCTGCAAGTGTATAATACCTGTTATTTCTGTTTTTCATCCCTAGCTTGCACAAGAGCTCCTGAGGGAGCATTGGAAGAAAAACAACCCAAAGTTGCGAGAGGTAGCCAAGTTTAAACTCTTTAATGCAAAAGTGACAAGTTATCAAACATCTTGTCTTTTGATGAGGTGATACTTGGCCTCAGGAATCTAGTGACCATCCCTTGATGAGGTGATACTTGGCCTCAGGAATTTAGTGACTATGTGTGACGTAGAGAATATGGAGACTTTTTATCAAGATCTCCATTTGATCTGGAAACTAATATGGGTTGTGATGCAGATATTCCATGACTTTCTGCTAACCTGAGTCCAGTGTTGACTTCCCTTCCACTAGGGGTCAGTTTCATCAGTAACTGTGTCTCGTCTGTCACAACTTGCTCTTTTATTCTGTCTGCAGGTCCAGTCAGCATTGCATACGGATCATGTTGTCAGCCAATGGCAAGAGCAGATATCTGAGAAGAAACAGGTAGGACAGTCACCACATCTGTCAGACAAAACAGTTCAATTTCTGTTTATTCCTGTTTTAATTAATGTCGAAGGATAAGAAGAATAATGAGTACTGAGTAGTGAATGTTACTCAATTTTACTCAAACCAACTTGCGAAGAAATTTCTCTGACGTATCACCTCCCTCAAACCAGTGATGACACAGAACCCACAAGCTGTTAAACTTTGCCATTTATCTTTTATATGACTTATTATTTATGTAACAATTCAATTTTTAATTAAACAGTGCTCCAGTCATCTGTGAATACAGTATCACCTCTAAAACCTACTCAGGTTAATCCTCTCCACATGGTACATAAGGTAATTGAGAAAGTTTAGACGTGTACTGTTAAATGACCCATGTCTCCAAACATGTAGCAAGAAGTGGCAGAAGAGGAGGAAAAGAGACTCTTTGAAAATGAGTATGAAAGGGCCAGAAAAGAGGCTTTGGAGAGAATGAAGCAAGTGGAGGAGAAAGCAAAAGAAGAGGAGCGCAAGAGAGCAGAAGAACTTCAAAAACAGATGGAAGAACTGAAGTTGCGGGATGAAGAGGTAAATATTTTTACTGTGAATAGTGATTTTGCACATTTACACATTTTATTTAATTTTTTTCTCTTTCAGGCATCTCGTCTAAAGAAGGATCAAGAAGCTCTGCTGATCCAGCAGTGGGAGCTGGAAAAGATAGAGGAGGAGAGGAGGAAGGTGGAGGAAAGACGCAAGAAGTGTGAGATGGGGTGAGAGAAGCGCTTTCTGCAGATAACTGCTCACAGGTGGGATGATACTTCAAGCTAGTGAGTTCACTGGATTTGTGTTCCAACAGACATTTCTTGATCCGTCAGTATCGATCTCAGCTGAAAAGGAGAGCCCAACAAGTGCAGGAAGAACTGGTTAGTCTACTTTATCCTCTGATGATACGGTACGTTTCTCTATATGTAATCCAATCTGCCTGGCTTTAACTCCTCTGTGCCCAACAGGAGGCCGATCGTAAGATCCTGGCAGCCTTGCTGGAAGGAGA